GTTAGTTTTTACAAAATGTCTAGAGTTTCGATTGTTTCTGTAATTAAGGCGTAACGTAATGTAAATGGAATTTAGATAAAATTTAATTTTCGTTTGACGAAAAAGCGGTTTTTCAAGAAAACAAAATGATGTTGCACAATCCGGATAAAATTTATTATCTAAACGCGTTTTTAGGCTAGTACTAAAATGTTATAAAGAATGGGAAAAATAACAGCTTAACCCAGTGTGAGGGCCCCTCGAAACAATTAGCTAAAAATGCTGATTGTTTGTTCATAGAGACCAAATGAAAATTTAGCTTTTGAAAAAAGTGTCTGCAATTGTCAGGCAGGACTTGGAAGTGTAGTCCCGTGTGAATATAGATATAAATATTTAGAAAATGTATATTCAATTGATTTTGCACCTAAATCGAGATAATAGTCTTTACCCCGATAAAAGTGAGTAGTCCAAGCGTCTCTTTCCATCGGCTACATCAGAGAACTTATTGATGCCTTTTTGCACGTGGCTCTAGGCGAACAAAACACATGTGAAACAGTTTGCTAAACGTCCTGATGTATCCTTCTCTTTGTGGCACAATGATACATATGCATATACATGTGCTGCCTGTATGGGTAGCTTGTGTGCGCCTGTATTTACTTGGCCATAATCAAGTATTTGCCCGAGGGTGGGAGTTTAATTTAATTTTATACCCAATTAAGTATAAATTTCGTTTGATGTCTCCTTGTGGCGAGAGATTGAAGGATGTTTTATGCATATTCTTCTCGTTTATATAAACTTGGATTGGTAACGGGGGAGGGGACAGAGGATGTGCTACGCCGATTGTTAAAAATACCACATCCAAGGGTGTGTCTGTGTGGGCGAATCACTGTTTTGAACGAAGGTAATACACATTTGAGCAACGGGTTCCATAAAGGGAGAGAGAGCATGCCTGATAGAAGAAAGCTGTTCATGTTGTTCTATTTTTGTCTCAGCTACGACCTGTTGCGCTTGTTTTTCGAGCGTGACCCTTTTTCGAATTATAGAAATAGATCGTTCATGTCCAATAGTATAATAAATAAATAACATTTTATGTTTTTTTTTATTGTTCGAATACCAAATATAAACCAGGCCTTTACTAAAACATTTGCGACTTTGGAGTGTACCGCATTACCAATGTAAGTAACCAGTGATACTTCCCATTAGTATAAATATGTAGATTCCACATCGATTTTAAGATAAATCCGGTCGTGAGGAGATCTAAGAAATAAAAACAGTACACCAAAAAAGTAGCTCAAAGCCCACCGAAATAAAGAACAAAAACATTTTGTGTAATTTTTGAGATAACTGAAATTGTTATTTCTATATTTCAGGGTATTGAATAAAAAAGTTCAAGATAAAATTATTCAGGGTTTTGAAATTAGAATTCTTAATTCCTAACTCAAACAATAACATATTTGCTCTGTTCCAAGACCTGCAAAGATCTACTATTTTTTGTAATTTTCAATTTCATAAAGCTATTAACCAGTTTTGCCATGGAATTTAAATATGGAACACTTTAGAGGAAATCCAGGCATTTCATTCAATTTATAGTAATAAGGGCCAAAATTTGTTTCAATTTCATTTTATTAGCGTTATGTTTTAAGAATATTTAATATGGAAATATAAAACAATTTGTTTTTACAATAAGTTAAAAACTAAGAAATAACATTAATAAACATAGATACTAATAATCAACAAAAATTCCCCTTTAACTATAACTTGGCAATAATTAGTTGATTTCATTTTAAACCTACTATGCTATGTTATTTTTTATAAATTTAGAAGTTTCATTTGATTTGCAAAAAGTTTCATTTCGGTTGGGGCAAGTTTTATCGTCGTGTTCAGAGAGTGATATGCAAAAATAATAGAGAAATACGCTCTGGCCAAGGCCAAGCTTGGCAAACAATTTTCTTTCGAGCAATTTATGATTGTTATCATCAAATTCACTACCTAACCTAATTTTTATTAGTGTACAGGGTACTACAACTTGCATAGAACAAAAGTTTTCTGTTTTTATTTATTTAACAAAATAATGACATTTATTCTAAAACTCACCAAATTTCTATGCAAAAGCAAAACTCGCACAGCTTACATTTATACAGCGACCCTTTTTCGAACTGCGTCCAACTTGACGCGATTGTTGGAAAATGTATTTGGGGAAGTCCCAAAAAGCTAATTTATCACAAATTTCCACGTGTTATGTATTTAACTGACGTAAATGTTAAAAAAGTGGGAGCACGACGAGGACAAACCACCGTTGAAGTGAGAAATTTAGCGCCGATCTACAGTTCAGTACCAGAGGGCTGCAATTAGTATGATTGAGTAGGCTTGATCACACACAGTGGAAATACAATCAAACTCAATCAGTCGGTCAGATGTAACATGTTCATTCGAGTTGCTCAAGTCATACGATAAAGTTGTGATCAAACATGTATTGATCGAAGTTTTGTGTTCACAATCAAACAGCTCACATGAGTTATTTGTTTACGAACTTATGTTGAATTGTTCATAACGGGTCGATTATGTATGATGAGTCTGATCGGTTTTATTTATCCTAGTTAAGTGAGTGATTTGATTTGATTAAAACACAAATGTTCGAATCTGAGCGAAATCATGATTGTAATTTTACTAAGGATTTCATAACTAAAAGCTGTTCCTATTAAAGAAATTGGTGCAAATTATATTTAATAAACATACAATTTTTTTCTTTTTTTTTGGGGTTTTTTGTACGTTACACTTCAGCAACTTATTAAAAAAAAAAAACAAAATTAATATTTTTAATAAAGAAACACATCATTGGTATTTAGTAAACTAAAAATGTTTAAATATTTTTTTTGTTACAATATTGGTCAAGATTTTTCACAAACTTCGACCTTTTCGTTTACCTACACGTGTGTAGTTTCTACTTGCAACAATTTCGGTCACACTACCACAATATTCTTCCATTTCAAATATTAAAAAAGTCAAAATAAACTGCCCCAACTTGATTGAATGGTTGAATAAACAATGACGCTGAACGAACTCGATTCAAAGAAGACAATCACGGTTGTGATTGCTCATTTATATTCATGTGTTCGATCAACTCATGTTGCTGAACACATAAAACCGTCTCGAACACTCATGTTTGATTGTGAGTGAAGTGATTCAAACTGAGCGTTCGATTCGATCCGAAGCGAAAACGGTCATTTCATACAGATCAAACTAAAAGACAGCATCAACAAAAATCATGTAAGAAACCGAGTGTGCTTGAATTTTTGCATACTCGTTGCAGCCCTCTGTTCAGTACATCATAAAACGGTTCAAAACAGATGAATGTGTAGAATATAGTAAATAACGGTAATTTATAAAATATTTTTCTTGAGTGATGAGAAGTTTTTTTTTTACGGCAGATCAAAAAGGATCCATTTTTGAGTGCACCGAAGCTCGCAAAATTTGGTGAAAAGGATTTGGGAAAAGATTTTGGTATGGAGAAAGGCAAATGAAGCGCTCCTTGCCAAAAATGTGAAGCCTACAGCGAAGCACGGTGGTGGGTCAGTAAAGGTGTGGGGTTCATTTTCAACCTTTGGACCTGATGTTTTGAATGCTATTGAGGGTATTATGGATCAGACTATGTACCTAAACACCTTTAAAAGAAAGTTTGCAACTCTGTAAGGAAACGCTAGGCCTTGGCGAAAATTATTATTTTTATCAAAACAATGATCCCAAACACAAGGCTTATAAAGTGTGGTCATGGCTGCTATCTAATTGTCCCCATGTCGTGGATACACCAGCTCAGAGTCCAGACATAAACTCCATATAGAACTTATGGAGCTATTTCGATGGAAAAATCCGTCAGCATACCATATCTTGCAATGAAGAAAGCTTTGTTGGAAGAATGGCAAAAAATTGAACCTAGCCTTTGAGAAAACCCAGTTTAAAGCATTCCAAATAGGCTGTAAGTGGTTGAAATATTATCTCTTTTCATTTTTATTTATTTTTTTACTTTAAATGAATTAAAATGTTAAGTTTTTTGATGCTTTTTAAATTACTTTCATAGTGTACTTATGGTGTAACTATTACAGGTAGCAGCAAGACCCAGCTGATTTCACTCTATAGTAATACTAGTGTCAAACTCGATATGACGTTTTGTAATTTAATTCCATTTCTTGATATACAATAGGTATACACTTTTTTATACAAAAATTCACTGCAGGACAATGTGAACATATTTTGGTTGCCTAATAATAGAAAAAAATCTCTGTTGTACTTGAGAAAACTTGTACTACTTGTATTACGTACAAAACAAATTTGTATGTGGTTGTTGTTACGATTGTTGTACAACAACACTTGCTGTTATCTGTATTATTCTACCATGATAGTGTACTAATAAAAAATATTTATTTTTGTAAATTTTGATTCTTGGAAGTTATAGGGAAAATAAATAACTCGCACAGCTAGAGTTTCGCTTGGAGCTACTGTCGGCCAAGAGGACCACCTTAGACATTAATTTGACAATAAACTTGGTAGATTTTCACACACAGTTGTGATTTTACCTTCTTTCAATTTAAAATCATAATATGGCTTGTGACAGTAAAATTAGTTGGTAGATGGGCTTACTGGCCGACCATATTTGGGCCATGTTTCTGGCATTTTTGTGTGGTGAATTAAGTAGTTATTTCATGGTAAATGATCGAACAACGAATAGAGAAAGAATCAAGTGCATACATCCAATAAGACTAGCTGATTTCACCCGTATTGTGAAAATGCATGCCGCTATTGGGTAAATGTTTTAAAACATAAATATACATTGTGACAGTACGAGATGCATGCTTTAAAACTCTATTTGGCACAATAATACATAAGCCGCAGAAAATCGATGGCAGGATTCGAGTGCGGTTCTGGCATTCCCTTTATAAGCGGTGAAACAACTTCTACATTAGAATTTGCCGCACTGCAGATTCGGAGAGTGTATCTAAATAAATATATAAAAATATAATTTTACTTACATTTCGATTCGATTCATTACTGCTGACGAAGGTTGCTGTGGTTTTTGCTGTTGTGACACTGGTGGCCAATTCGCGTCCGCAACTGACGCCGGCTGAGGAGGGGTGAGGTGAGGTAGGTGGAGATGGTTGTGGAATTGAGGGGCCCGTTCTATTGCGTAGACGGGCTAAAGCACTCCTTAGGCCTTCCGTATTTGTGTTATCGGGCCCCCTTCCGAACAGAATACATCCACAAAACAGTTTGAATGTTTTGGGAGTTGTTTTGGCGGGATTTGTTGTTTTTTTCTACACTCGGTTATAAAGCTTAAACTCGCTGATATAGCTAAATTAAAACGCCACACGGAATAACATAACTTCCATACATACATTCGTGCTTATAGTATAGCTTCTACAATATGCATATACATATATATATGCTATATGGATATATATACATGCATATGCCCAAGCGAAACAAAAACAATTCAAATTCTTTTTATACGAGCGTGTGGTTCAAACGAAAAAGGAGCTTGCGGTGTCTGTTACAATAAATCGGCCATCCAGATTGATCGACAAAAAAGTTTTTTTTTTTTGTTGGCAGCTTGCGCTGTCATCTAAACACTTGGCCCGAGGGTAGGTAATTTCATTCACCCACTGCCACAGATGTACTCGTAAAATCTTACTGACCTACTTTTGCTTTTTGAGTGACAGTGAAAAAGGCAGCAAGCCAGAAATACGAGTGTAAGCGAGTGCAAAATAAACCGAATTATTTTGAATCGTAGCACCAAGGTCTGTGCTAGGCGTACACACATATACACACCGGCACAAGGGTTCGCATGCTAATAACGACGTCTTGAACTGTTTGGAGATAGAAATACAATTGTGTAAAAAATCACTACCATTCAGTCTGTACCCAAAGCAATCGCATAAACAAACTCGCCTCGGCATACGGATGGGCGAAAAATCAATTTCGAAGAAGTAACTACGATAGTGCGGCAGGGGAAGAGGGCCAGGGTGTTGTATCCATGGTCATGCAGTCAGCGGCGATGGCTAAGGCACTGCAAATAGTAGTAGTAGTAGTAGCAGCAGCTGAACGCATGTGTGTAACGTGTAAATTATTTGAAGCGTGCTACTTACTACACGCTAACCTCCGATGGTGACTCCATATTTCGTATTGAAATCACGGCACTTTTCATTTTATATGAAATTTAACTCAGCTTGCTTCGGGTAGTTATAGACCCATTTGGAAGGAGGTTTTGGTCTTTGACCCAGTTAATGCACTTCTACCAGAATGAAATTACTAACTACGACGGGAAATGCCCGCAGTGCATGTCCCCACCAGTCGGTCGGATGTGTGTGGGTGGTTAGGTGAAAGTATGGCAATAACAACAACTTGAACTACAATTGCTATAGCTCGAGTTGGCCGATGAGACATTACATAAAAAGCATAGCCACAGTATAACTTTAAGAGGAAGATGAGGATTATCTTAATGTCATTTTAATAGGCCGCAGGCAAACTGTAGCAGAAGGATACTATTTACGAATGTATGTATGCATGTACGAATGTGCACAAGCGGATGATTTCCAAACTCCATGTAGGAGTAGTAAACAGTCGTGGATGAAGGTATACAACATCTAGGACAATGCCACAGAAGTGTGTCGGTATGTATGTATGTGTATACATAACATTTCGTTTTTATGTACGTTCTTTTTTGTTTTTTTTTTCGGTTTTAAATTGTAACTCTTCGTTTATTTCCAAGATTATGTCGATTGAAGCTACCATATAACGCGGATTCATTCTTAAGTATGTTGTATGCATTTACCCTTTTCAAAACTCTATTTTTATTTATTCTTTTTTTTATTACACCACCAACTACAACTTATGCCGTAAAATTCGTCCGAAATCCCCCACGACCGTGCACGACAAACCCCTGCAACAAACTAAAGCCCTCAATGAGTATGTGTTCTCTTTAGCATCTCGCAGAGGAGAAGTAACCGTTATTTCTAAAAGGGATATGCCATTTTGACACAAGGGCATAACTTGAATGCCGACGTGTGGCATTTGCTTGTGTGCCCTGTTCCTGTTTATCATGGTGGCCATGACAGAAGTTGAGAACGGAATTATACATGCAATCAGCGAATGAAAACAAACGAAACGAATAACGTACTGCTCCCACGAAGTCAGAAACTTCAAAATTATTTTCAATCGTTTTGTACTTCACACAAAACAATACCACACACATTTCAATGCCAGAAGTACACAAACAATACGATTGCTTTAACTTACTTCGGCTGTGATTTGCCGAGTTGTATCTTTGGCGAACGAATCGCAGGAAAACGTTTGCTGAGCGAAATGAGGACTGCTATATTTAGAGACGTCAATGTAAATATTGTTTTTTACACTGTTTCCATTGTATTATGGACGTTGCAAACGTTCGGTAAAGTTTATTTTCGTACGCGCATGCAACAATGCGTACCAATGGATCAGTTTGACAATAGTGTGGAACATTGCACCGTGCCGACGTTTGGTTCATGAATAATATTCATGTCTTATTAACCGCGAAAACCGCAATGTTAGAATAGTTGAAATGTTTTTACGACTACTTTTTATGATTTTGTTAATCCCAATAATCCTGTGTTAATCCCAATATCCTTTGGTATTTCGCGCTTAAGATTGAAATAAATTGAATTCCGTATAACTGCATTGAAAAACGTCCCATGCATGGTGCAATAAGATGTTCCTGCAAAATTTAAAAGGCACATGGAATGTCAAACATAATTTACACTTTCTTTGTTATTGTCATGGTAGAATAAAGAAGGTAAAGTCAAGCAATCATATGTTTACAATTTTTTCAAAATTATACATTTGACAACATCTCATCTCTCGATATTCGGTATTTCGATGATTTTCGCTACATTTTTTTTCACCGATTTGTCTAAAAATTGGTATTTGTAGTTCGCAATAGGCGTCGGAACAAAGTACATACAGGGTGTGATGAAAAAACTGCAACCAACTTCAGACAGACAGCTCATTATATTGTTTACAAGCAGACAAAAGCAATTTGGTCACAATTTTCCAGAAAAAGGTATTCGTGATCGAATTCAAGCGTGATAGAGTGATTTCTTTATACTTGGCTGGAAAACTACAAGTGGCTATCGTTAGAGCACTCCAGCATTCAAATGTGATTAAATCTTTTGTGTCTCGTAACATCGCTCGTTACCGTGATACCAGTATCGTAGCCGACGACAAGGAAGTGGATGGTAGAAAACAGCAATATGAGCAGAAATGGTTCCAAAAATTAAAGAAACGACTTGATCGAAACCCGCGTCGCAGTGGCTGAAAAATGGCTCGTGAACTGAACATATCGCAATATTCCATTTGGCAAATATTTAAAAATGAGCTCGGGGTAAAGCCATTGAAGTTCCAAAAAGTGCAAGAACTAACACCGCAACAGAAAGAAAATAGACTCAAAAGAGCTAAAGAGTTGCTTCGCTTGGCCGAAAGTAGTAAATTGCCGAATTTGATTTTCTCCGATGAGAAAACATTCGTTGTCCAGCAGTTTGTAAACAAACAAAATGATCGTGTTTACTTGCCAAAGAGGTCAGCTGAAAATGTGCAACTTCGGTGGCCACCAGAACTCAAGCGCCGGTCATGGTGATGGTGTGGACCGCCATAACAGCCGATGGTCGCTCTCCGCTCGTATTAATCGACGACAAAACATTGAATATTTAGGTCCACGTTTTCCTATAGCGCACATATAACGATACCCACCGATATTCGGTATTTTGATAAACCAAGCCACATTTACCCACGAAATTTTTTCAAATTTGGTATTTAGGAAGATTTAGTAGGTGACAATCCTTGAAGTTTAATATTGTCTATAGAGGTTCCCGTTTTGGTATGGTTCTCATATAACTTTTATAAAAAAATGTTTTCTTTAGCTAATGATGGAGGGTATTCAAAGTTCGGCCCGGTCGAACTTACTGCTTTTTTACTTGTTACATTTATTGATTTAATATTTTCACTAACACTCCTGAAACGACAGCAGTGGAGGTGCAGATTGGCGACAATGCTCTTCAACGCGTTTGGACTTGGACTGTTTTTCTTTATATTCGTTTTAAATATGAACTTGATCCAATCGTATTAATGAAGCAATAAAGGAATAAATAACGTTTTAACACTGATTTATTGATACTTTCTAAAATCAAGGAGAAATTGTCTAATGAGCGGTCTCGTGTTCTCGCGCAGGGCTGTTGGACATACACTATTGAAAATATAGACGAAGAAACGCTCTCATCTTTGAGCTTCCGCTCGAACTCGATTAAGGACTAAAGGTTAGAAAACATAAAACCCTTTTTTGACCGGCTTAAGTCATCGGCTGACTTCTTCGTGCCAGTGATTTAAGCCAGCCGATGACTTGAGCCAGTCAAAAAAGCGTTTTATGTATTCTCACCTTAAAGCTCGCTCGAGTATTTCAGAGAACAGGGACTGAATTCTTGTTGCATGAAATGCAAAATATTTTCTTAATAATTGCTTTCATTTGACATGTATCTTCTTTACAAAAGTTTTCATTTCTCATTTCAAAGAATATGAATCTAGCCATTGCCTGAGAAAAACTGGACATTAATCTAATCTCTTTACTACCGTAGATGTGGACGGTGTAAAAGGCAAGCCTAATATTTCTTTGAATTGCTTTTGCGTCGGTACTCGTCTATTTGTTAACCGAGTAATCAGCACTTGAACAACACAAATCCAGCAATCAAAACAGTATGCAAACGGTGGAACCGGCGACGGTGTGTGAGTGTAAATCCAATAGATAAGATACGCAATTCCCCGATTGATTTCTTGTTTATCGCCCTTCCAACAAAAAATAATGTTTGGTTTTCGAATGAAGAACTCGCCCAAAATGTACATCTTTGCTTCTTACTTAGAAACAGGTGGTGACCGGTCGGTCAGTCAGTGCTGAGGTGTTCAACAGTGATCTAGCGGATTGGCTCCTCGCTTGGTAGGAAATCAGTAAATAGTAAGCAAACCATCTCCATAAAAATGGATGATCGCGGCAAAAACATAAGACGACGGGTTAACATGCCTAATGCCGACCAAAGTACAACCGATCCATTACTACGGCAAACACAAACACAAGATGAGGTGAGTTGTCGTGTAAATCATGTTTGTATTGTTTGCGTACATCCGTGCTCAAAAAAATATTTGTACCCATACACCATTGATATAATCAAATAGCCCATATGGGTGGCATATATCTCATTTTTTTTTTTAAATACTTTGTCTGATATACCGTCAGCAAGAAAGGAGTGCCAAAGTATGTGTAGTTTCAATGAATAAAAATATTGTTTTGCAGTTGACTTTTGGTAAGAGCCCAAAATCGATTGGTATCTTCGTTCTGAATTCTTCCATAAGTTAACAATAGTTAAACAATTTGTACCTTGAATTTATATATACCCCCACATTTATGGTGTTAGCAGACAAATCAGATGGGGTTTGCTTGTAACCTCCTTTAACTGTACATCGCAGAAAACTAAAGTTTTAAAATCACCATTTTAGTGATACTTATTAACGGAACTTTTGGGTAAAAAGAATACGTCCAGCCAACCTTTTCTAAATTGTTACAAAGAATTAAATACGTAGACTCATTAGGCACATCCACGGACACTGAAAAGTTGAAGCATGAATATGTTCAGACAATTGATTTTAAAACTGGTATAATATCTGTTATATACACGAATGTCACGGTATACATATATGATATTTTTGAGTAGAGTTAAAGGACTAAAATGACGACCAATATAAGCCGCCAAGCAAAACGATTTGTAGCTCCCGTTAAGGAATTCAATTTTTGGGACGATAACATGTTTAAATAAAACATATTCCAATGTGGAGACTATTTGGATAGTTTGAATGGACAGTTATTTTTTTTTGTTCTCAACACAACTGTATGCAGTTCTTCGTTCGAATGGTTATAGTATCTGAAAATGACAACGTGAATGATAAGATATGGGACTACTATTCGTTATATTAGTGAAAAGTAAAACCTAGATTTTTTAATCAACAATTATTTTATTAATTACAGAATGTGGGATTGAAAAGTCTCTTTGTTACCCGCAACAGAATCAGGTGGTACTGGGCTCCAGTATTCATTGGCTTGTGGCTGATACTGTATTTCACGGTTGCTATACCTGCATTCCATCGTTTACCCCATCCATTGAACATTAAAGATGAGGCCAAATATCCCGACCGTTTCATTGCTGAAAGAGCGGAAATAAATCTGCAGAAATTAGTTGAGCTAGGACCGCGAGTAGTTGGTAGCGAAGCCAATGAAAAAGGAGCCATAACCTATTTCCATGCGTATGTACAAAAGCTTAAGAGCGAAGCTAAATATATCTACGAAATCGAAGCAGATGTGCAAATCGCTTCCGGAAGTTACGTACACTGGGAAATGGTTAACATGTATCAAAATATACAGAACTTTGTGATCAAAGTGGGACCCAAAAACTACAATGGAACATCGTACTTGTTGGTAAATTGCCATTACGACTCCGTACCCAGTGGACCAGGAGCAGGGGATGATGGCGCAATGGTGGCTATTATGTTAGAAACTATACGTGTATTGTCAAAAGCGGAGAAGCCTTTAAGAAATCCAGTTGTATTCCTGTTTAACGGTGCCGAAGAAAATCCTTTGCAAGCCTCACACGCTTTTATTACGCAGCACAAATGGGCAAAATATTGCAAGTAAGTTGGGTCGTTGCTGCGATGATATCAGATTACATGCCATTTTTTTCAAGGGCTTTAATAAACTTGGACTCCGCTGGCAATGGTGGTCGCGAAATTCTCTTCCAATCTGGGCCAAATCATCCTTGGTTAATGAAGGTTCGTTAAAAAAGACAGATATCCCGGCATGCCTTTTCCCTCTCACAACTTCTCTCCATTTATTACAGCATTACAGAAAT